AAAGGGACAGAGAAACAGAAAGCGAGAAATCACCCTTCAGGAAGGATGGCCACATATACATATACACACACACACACACACACACACACACACACATATACACACACACACACACACATATATATATATACATATACATATATATGTATCTGTGCCTGTCTAGTAGCTTCTGGAAGCTGCAGACTGGTATTTACTGTCCTTAGTGCCCTGCTTCTAGGAAGTGCTGAATAAATGTGAACTGAACGATTAACTACATGAATAAATGTGTTGTATGTATGTATACACATATACAGACACTTATAATATATAACTCTCTCTCTCTACATATATATATGTATATCTTGCCCCTTCTTCCTTCCACTGAGGAAAACCCACTTATTTCATATATCCAACATTATTAGAACCAATGTATGGGCTAATAATCTTGTCAATTTTCATCATATATTGCTAATTTATTATTTTTAAAAATATACATTTGACCCACCAATGGAAAAGAGATGACTGAAGTATAGCAGAGGTCACGGTATGTCTTGAGGGACTGAATGCAGGAATGGGGCAGTGATGGGAGAAGCCTAGATAGAAGGAAACTGGATAAAAATGCAAGCAGGAAGAGAAGGAGGATAGGTAACGGGAGATGTAGGCATGAAGTAGAAAGAGAGGGAAAAAGAGGAAAGGAGACCAAAAACTAATCAGACTTGAAATCAGCAATTCTGGTTTTACTACAAACTTGAACTTGAAGATTTAACAAGCAAAGAGGAAATTGGATAAGAAGAGACAGATTTTGAAGACAGAGAGATCTAGATTCTGATATCCACTTGGGTACAGCATGACCTTGGTCAAATGACTTGACTTTTCTGAGCTCACCACCTTCTTTTTTTTTTTTTTTTGGAGAGATTTTTGCTATAGGGCGCGTGCGCTCGCCAGACAGACAGAGAGAGACATAGAGACAGAAAGCGAGAAATCACCCCCCAGGGGGGATGGTCACGCCGCAATCCCTTCTCCTCCATTCTCCTCTCGGGATCTTGGGCACGCACGCACACACGCCCGGCGTGAGTTTTAAGACACCGGGTCCAGGACGCGAATCGCGGTCGGCTACGTGGGAGTCCAGCGACATAGCCATTACGCTAACTGCTGGTTCCCTTCTTTTTTTTTTTTTAACTTTAATTTTGAGGTAATTTTAGACTTACAGAAAAGTTATAGAAGTAGTACAGAGAGTTCCTGCATACCCTTTCAGGTTCCTCTAATGCTAACATGTTCTGTAATCATAGCTCAATGATCAGTCAGGAAATGGTAACATTGATACAATAATACTAACCAAAAAAAAAAAAAGCCATATTAGACTTTCCCCATTTCTTCCATTAATATCATTTTTTCTAGTCCAGATCCATAGGATCTCACACTTCATTTAGTTGTCATGTCTCCTAGTTTCTTCTAATCAGGACAGTTTCTCAGTTTTTATCATTCAAGACCTTGACTCTTTTGAAGACCACACTGCCCCTCACTTTCAGATTACTGGATGTTTTTTCATTATTAGATTCAGGGTATGCTTTGCCATAGAAATGATGTCATGTCTTTCTCAGTGCATTATGTCAGGAGGTACACCTTGATGTGTCTTCTTACAGGCCATGTTAACCCCTATCACTTCACTAAGACTGTCTCCTGAGTTTCTCCTCTGTTCTACTTTTCCCTTTGTATTTAATAAACATCTTGTTGAGCGATGCTTAGAAACTGCAAATAGCCTCTTTATCATCACACCTGCTTTTACCCAAACATTTTCAAGTCCATCAGTGGTTCTTGCCTGCAACAATTATTACTGTATATTTTTTTAAAGGATTTTTTTTTTTTTTTTTTTTTGCCAAGGGAGTGATGGGCTGAAGACAGAGAGGGAAAGTAAAAAAATCATTCCCCAGGGTGGATGGCCATGCAGCAATCCCTTCCCTTCCATTCTCCTCTCTGGATCTGTGGAATGCATTCACACATGCTGGTGTGATTTTCAAGCCACTGGGTCCAGGATTCAAACCGTGGTCAGTCATGTGGGAGTCCAGTACCTTAACCACCATGCCACCTGCTGGCTCCTTAATGTACTAGTCTAATGGTGGTTTTCTGTTTCCCTCATTCCTTCCACATTTATTAATTGGAATTATTTTATAAGTAAGAGCTGTTCCTCTTCCTGTCCCATACATTGATTAGTAAAATATACTAATAAATTCATTTATTTGTATTATTGAATATAAACAAATACTATTAGTTTATATAAGTATGAACTCAAAATGTTTATTTTACTCTATGGATCATGATCCAACACTATCATTTTTTTTAAGAATTATTTTATTTAACTTTATTTATTTATTTTAATTTGACCAGAGAAGGACAGAGAAAGAGAGAGAGAGAGAGGAAGCAAGCTGCCAGGTCTGGGACTCAAACCATAGTCAACCATGTGGGAATCCCATGCCCTTAACCACAATGCCACCTGTCAGCCCCTATCATTTGTTAATATTGTTATCAAGCTTCAATTTCTTTATCTGTAAAATGGAAATAATGGCAACTATCATGAGGATTAAATGAGATTTAAACATGTGAAAATGTCCAGCTCAGAGAACCTACTATTAGGTCACTGGGAAAATCGTGGTGCATTTTTGCATAGAAAAACAGAAACATACATCATGTCATGACTTTCTTGAAAACCTAACAGATAAATGAAAGCTCCTTTCTTTCCAACAGGTAAAGCCATGATCACTTGAAGTCAAGGCCATTCTAAATAGGTGGAGATCTGAATTTAATTCTCTTTTAATGCATTGCGGCTTTCTACCTTAAGGTATCTAAGAACTAGAATATAGCTATCTCAGTGCTGCCTAATGGAGATAATTTGACATCTGCTCGTAATGATTACATGAAGCTGATTTTTAACCCATAATTTGTATGGAAATAGATGCTTGAGAATACTTGAAAACAGACTGTTCTCTTAAGTAGTTTAAGTATTTTCCCAGAAATCTTGTTTACATTTTGAAGTTGCTTAGCTAAACTATTTTCAGAGATAGTCCAAAACATGCCTCAACTCAGCTATGGGTCATATCACTAAATCGGAGTTAGTGAAATCACTGGTTCATCTTGGACTCCCAGGCTGATGGCAATGATGGAAGAAATCCAAGTTTAACTTAAAATTAGATTTTAATACTTTTAGCAATTCACTTTTAAGTTCAAGGTAGAACTAAAAATAAAAAGAAAAAAGAAAAAAAGAAAGACAAGACTAGAGTCCAAAGGATGTAAGAGTGAGCAGGCATGGAAGCTTAGGGTACTAAGGATATGAGAGTGGGTAGATCTAGAGGTTTAAAATGATTCACGAATACAGTAAAATCCACTAATAAAATCACTCAATTTACGGGAACTTTCATTTTCCACCCTATTTCTATTGGTAAGGAAAATCAAGAACATTGGGAGATTTATTTTAGAAAACAACTTTAGGACAGTGTGGGTTGTAAGCTTTCACGTGGACTGCTAGATGCTGTGTCTAACCAGTTTGAGGAGAGGCCAGGAATCTGCAGTTTTAGCACACACCACCATGAGCCCAATGCTTGAGTGTTCAAAGCCCAGGCTCTGAAGCTTGACTATGTGTGTGTGTGTGTGTGTTCGCATCTCACAATTAGTACCTACCACCTGTGTAACCTTGGGAAATGACTTTGTCTCCTCATACCCATTGGTAAGATGGGGCTAGTCATAATATCCAAGTGGTAAGGTTGTTGTGAGAAGCAAGTAAATGGACTACATAAATGGCTAACGTGACAGCCCTGGATGGATGAGAACTATTTCTATGATAATGGATCTCTCTTTGAGGAGGAGTGCTCAGAGCACATCCGGACACAGAAATCCTTGAGCCGGCCTCTAACGTTTCTGCATTCACGGGGCCTTGTCGTGGTTACTGATGTTTACAATCAGGATCTTGATTGGCAAGCTATGGAGTGCATTAAGTGGCTGCTATAGTTAGAAAGTGTTGAAGTAACAAAGGCTGATTGATCTTCTATATGATGTGTGTGTGTGTGTGTGTGTGTGTGTGTATGACCCAGAAAGGGAGTATTTTCTTAGTATTTAAGTAGACTTGACTCAATGATTAAAATAAGAAATAACTGTTATTTGTGGAGTTCAATCAATAAATACACAGATTTGAATGTTGTGATAATATTCAAAGCAAAAGAAATTAAGTCTAAAACAAGTAAGATGTAGTCTAGAAAAAAGTCTGGGTGTAGGAATACACTACGGAGAGAAAGTGCCCCTTACGCCCAAGGGTATAGCTTGCCCAGACCCTGGCAATGCATGAAGACCCACTTCTCCTTCCGGTCCCTCCTCCTTGCCCCATGGCTTCAGGGACTTCAGCCATTGTCTCATTACTTCCCATCGAGCCCAGCAAGCCCAGTGAACCCAGAGATGGTTCCATCCCAGTGCTCCTGAAATCTGGTCACATCTGTCCCCTTCAGAGGTAGCTTCTGGTTTGGTCTCAGAAGCTCTGGAGTGACTTCCAGGGGCTAAGGTTCTTCAGGGGATGAAGACAGAGGAGTAGGGTGGCTCACTGTCCTTCAGCAATCTGTTCCTCCTTGCTCCTGACCTGTGTGTGGGCTTTTAAGTTTCTGTAGAGGGGGTCTGATCATGGAAGAGAGGGTGGCAGGACCCAGGTGGCCAGGGATCATGCTGTCAAAACTCACATTTGAGACTTCTAGTCTTAAAACTGAAGGGAATTGAAGACTGAACATCTGGTTGTCCAAATGGAGGCCTGGTGGATTTGGTAAAGATGTAGAATGGAAATTAGATCATTAGCTTGCAGGGCAAGCTGCGGGGCAGTGAGAGGGAGTGTAACAATGTGACTGTCTATCTCACTGCCTGGAAAGAAAAAAGCCATCACAGAAGAGGTAAATGAGATATCAGTAACACACACACCTAAAAGGACAACTATGTTTAAAAATCATTTGCTGGTGAATTAAATACAAAAAAATCCCAAAGTGGCTTCTTACCTCATTGAATCTCATCACAAGATCTTCAAGTGCATTGTGCTCTCCATTCTGGGAGGTAAGAACTGAGGCCGAGATGGATGCTTTGAGGCTGGGCAGAGATCTCTGGCATTCTGGAGTGCCCAAGTCCCGGGTTAAGAAACAAAGGTAGTCAACCGGTAAGACCCTCCGGTAAATGTTCTGCTCCTGCTCTGTCAGGATGCTGGCCACTTCCTCTGGGAACTGAATGAGGGGCTGCAGATCAATGAGCTCCTTGCTGATCCCAGCTGAACTTGAAGGGAGGGCGTTGGAACTGGCCATAGAGGTGCCTGGCTGACGTTCTGAGATAAAGCAGAAGTCATAGTTAGATCAAGGCTGGGGTTCTCTATGACAGATATTTATAGTACTTGAGGACCATTAAAAATATCATAGGTTTCTTTTTTTATGATATTAATTTTTATTTCTTTTTTTAAATTTATTCATTTTCTACATTAATTCACTATACACCATCACAACACACAAATGAATTTTCCATCCAAAATACACTGTGCATTGGCTCAATCAAGCACATCAACATACATGTTCTCAGCAAATAATTTTCCAATTCTTATGTCCTGCATACCTTGCCTTTTGTTTTGCCATCCTTGATTCCCCATCCCCCACCCTCTGCTATGTCCCATCCTCCTCCC